CGAGCGGCAAAGCAGAGAGACGACCGGGGAGGCGACACCGCGCCGTCCCCGCCGAGGCCCCCGCCCTTCGCCCTTGGGGCAGGAGCCGCGTTCCCGCCGCGCGTCGCAGCCAGGCTCCTAACCTGTATGCTGCGCGGGACAACATGGTGACGCCGACAGCAGGCCTCTCCGAGTCCGAGCCGCCGCGCCGCGCTGACCGCTCGGAGTGAACCGGCGACCGTCGCTGCGCCGCAAGGGCACTGCCGCTCGCAGCAGGCTCCGCCCCCTTCTGGCCGCTCCCACCGAAGGGGGTGTGCTGTCCCGGGGGCTGCCCCGCCCCCGTCCAGCCCGCGCCCCGGGCCCAGGGGCGCGAGAAGGGGGGTCGCAGAGACCTTCTCCAGTGGGCTGTGGGAGCCGCAGTGCCCACCTGCTAAGCTTCTCTACGTGTCACCAAGGGAACGCCGCTATCCCCCCCCCGGTGTCTGATGGTACGGTCCTTAGCTCCTCCTGCGTCGGCACCGCCCTTCGGGTCCTGGAAGAAGACGCGGGATGGCAGGGTCTGCAAGTTGCTCCCCCACCCTCCTTCCCTGGTGTCCGAGCTGGGGCAGCCCCGGGATCAGGTGACTTTCCCGGAGGAGACCTCCCTTGTTTCCCTGAACTGCCTTGATGCGCTCCAGCGGGTCGGTAAGGAGGGTGGGTCCAGGTTGCTGGGAAGCTGCAGGGCCATTGCCCGCCCCCCCCCCCCCCAGTGCCGCGAATGGCCTTTCATTCCGAGAAAAGTGACCTTGGGACCTCCTGCAGGCCCGAGCCAGGCGGAGGGCGGTTACTAAACACCTGAGGCCAGGGACTGCGCCGCAGGGCTCGCAGACATTTATCTCTGTTTCACCGGGAGGATCGGTATCTTCGACTCCAGCCTACGGCTAAAGAGTTCATGGAGGTTAGGCAGGCTGTACTTGTCACACACAGTTAGTAGGTGAAAGAGTCAAGATTACAACTCCAAGTTCATACTGTCATGAGTACTAAGACCTACCAGTCAAGTCTTGAGTATTTGTTAGGCGTGACTTCCATGAGCTAACTGCTGGGAAAATATAAAGAAATACAGCAGAAGATTCTTGTTTACAGCGTCTCACAGTCTAATAAGTTGTATCGAATGCTTTCTCAACAATTTAAAAAAATTCCTGAGTTGTGTGGACCCTCCCGACAAAGAAGTTAGGACAGCTTTAACACTGTTATTGGCCTGAGTTGGGCCCTTATTGAATGGAATCATATAAAAGGAAATAGATAGTTGGTGCTTAATAAAGAATTTCCCCTCCGGGCAAGATAGCAGAAGGGGCGGGCGGGCAGAGCGACTCTGTTTCCTCACTAGCATCTCGCCGGGATCTTGCCACCTTCAATGTTACCAAATTGCCACCACTTTCACACGAAGGTATCACCAGATGAGCCACAATTAACATAGATACAATGGTCATGTAGCTGATGGGGCATCCAGTTGTGAAAGCTATTTCTGGAGGTCACGCTGTCCGGGTCAAAAATGAACTAGAAAGACATATTACAATCAAGCTTGGATATGCTGATGCGAAGATTTATAAACTTGGTGACTCAGGTTGTCCTCGGCCGGATGTTGCAGACCCTGCGGCAGCAGCACACCTGATGGGTTTCCTACGGACCGCTCAGGGACGGAAGGGAACTGCAAGTCAGCCAGGCACCTTTCCCTTGTCCATTGCCCTGGCCGGGGTATTCTGATGGCTGCTGTGCTGAACCCGGCAGCAGATGAGTGCGGCTCTTCGGTTGATACCCAGCTAGCTGGTCATGAGTCTTGTCCTCAGCCTCAGACTTCTGAACGCCTGGTTGCTATAGAAATTGTGAAAATAACATATATTTTGATCCTAGAAAATAAAACTGATTTGGTAAAAGAGAGCCCGGCCCTTAAAGAACAGTGCGGACACACCCCCGCCCTTGTACACAAGGCGCAGTAGCAGAAGGAGCTCCTGCTTTCCAAGTTCCGCTCAGCTGGACCACGATATTGAAATACTTATTGTTATTAGATCCTTTGACATCGACAAACCTTAAGCTGACTTTAGGGGCGTGTGGCTGGTCGGTGGCAGTATTCTAAAAGGAGTGTTAAAGGTGGGCCCGGGGGTAGAGGTCAGGCCTGGTATTTAACCTCTCATACTTCACATAGGGTCTACAGTAACTGCATACATTGGCTTAATGTGGGATTGAATCCACCAGAAACCCATCATTCCCAAATAATGGCTAACATGTCTATCAATGAAGGTTTGACATGAAACTTCGCTACAACTAGCTTCCAGCACACGTGCCACCGAACCTGCTGGAAATAAAGCTTTTTTTTTCCCTCATTTTCATCATTCATCTTTGGGTAGCTGTGGGCTTGAAGGATTCTTATGTTACAAAAAACTGGAAGACACAAATTCCTGAAAACCAGCTTCCCTTTGCCTCATAGTTTATGTTGCTTTAGCTCCACAATTTTGAGTGAAAAGAAATTAATTGGCTCAAATAAAATTATCCTTTCGAGCATGGAAAAAAAAAACACAAGAATTTCACTTGTTTTCTTCTGCCTCTTGCACAACCCTGTAAGGGTGGTGACCGGGTCTGGATGAGGGAATGGCAAGGGGAACTACCCAGAGTGATTTCCCAGCAAGAGGGCCCGGGCTTGCTGGCAGTGGAGAGAATGCAACCCAGGGTGTGTTTGGGTGATGGAGGAAATTTGGGTTGAAAGCAGATTATGGATGTTCTTAAAACAAACATATGGTTGGTAACAGGAAATTGAGAAGTGTTTTCGCTGAACACACCAAAAGTAGTTTTTCAGGCAAAATAGGGCGACATTGATATCACAAGGGCCCGGCTAGTCAGGAAGCTGCTGTATGAATCCCAGCGTTTGGTACCAAGAGCCAGTTTCAGGGGACCAGCTATGCAAACTGGAAGAAAAGGGATTTCTGAAGGATGGTACAATGGAATTCAGTGACAGACCAGTCCCTAATAAAAGGGCTTGATCTCGCTGTGGCTGGTGGGGCTCAGTGGGATGAGCACCGGCCTGCAAACCAAAGTGCACCAGTTCGATTCCCAGGCAGGGCACATGCCTGGGTTGGAGGCCAGGTCCCCAGTAGAAGGTGCGTAAGAGACAACCACACACTGATGTTTCTCTCCCTCTCCTTCTCCCTCTTTTCCCCTCTCTCTAAAAATAAATAAAATATTTTTAAAAATAAAAATAAAAAGGCTTGATCTAGTGAGGATAACAAACATCACTATCAGGAGACTGTCCAGTCAGAAAGCAGTGATGTGCTTCTTGTTTGTGCAGATGATGAGACTTAAATTGGCCCCCAGGATGGGCCTTTTTTAATTTTAGTTGCTATACAATCTTATATTGATTATATTAGTTTCAGGAGTACAATATAGTGATCTGACATTTTTATACCTAACAGTGTGATCCCCCCACTAATTCCAGCAGTCACCTGTCACTTGTGTGCTATCTCCTGTGTAAACCTTCGGGGGAGCTTTGCCTGCAGAGCCCTGTGTCTGCCACACATGAGAATAAGTCTACCAAGACATGAGCTCCCAAAGGAGAAGGGCCAGGAGCCTTTTCCTCAGTGGGCTTTTATTGGGTTCAGTGTGTGCAGGAATATAGCTAAAGCTCATCAGTCATTGTCAGGCAGTGAGGATCAAACAGTAGATAACATACAAAGAACTAGGAGGGCTTATTCTGAGTCAGGGTCAGTTGGCTAAAGGGCTATAAAGCTTTGGGAAACTCATTTCATGCTTGAACTCTTACCAGAAAATTGAGGGCATTCTTAGCAAAGCAGGTTTCACAGGAGTTTATGCATTCTTTCTTAGGCCTGATTGCCCTGGGGAACTTGCCCTTTCCTGCACAGGGCTGCACCGCCTTCTGTCATTGTTTCAGGCTTAAGTCAGGCAGAGGAAGTAAGGCAGCCAAGAGATTAGGAGACTTCTTGCAGGCAGAGTGAGGACTCAGGCCTTGTCAAAGCCGAGGGGCAAGGGTCCATCACCCCCTTTCTCCATAGCCCCCCAAGTCTTTCCCTGGGGTGCCCCTTCATGACTATGCCTGTCTTAGGTCATCCCTCCCTTGAGGAATCTTACCCGTCATTGGCTAACCGATCATGCACCAGGGGCCAAGCAGGGTGAAGTAAAGGGGGCAGAGGTGGCACCCCTGCCAGGGAGAGAAGCTTTGTCTCCTTAGTGGCTTAGGGTCCCAAGGTCACGCACTCAGCTTTAGCCACGGGGGGGTTACAGCTTCTGAAACCAGGCAGAGCAGTTCCCAACTTAAACTATCACAACATTATTGACTATATTTCCCTCCCCTTTTGCATTTCCTTCGCAGGGGAGAAGGAATGCACAGACTGGATGTTCTGATTTACTCAGGTATCGGATGAGATGTGGTGAGACCAGAATGGGGTAAAGGAGTTGCGGACACAGCAGGTAAGTACAGTAAGATGGGAATGAACTATGAAGGGGATGAAGTACAGTGGGCACAGGGTAAGATCAAAGGTTTAGAGGTACCTTGCTGTGTACTGTTCAAACGAGAATGAGACAGAGTGAGCTGGTAAAAATATAAGAAAAGAAATTGGAGATAATCATCACCAGGTACAGAATATCGAGTACCTCTAGAAGGAGGGTGGGAGATGCTGTTGAGGAATACGATTTGCTTTTTCTATTATAGTTGACGTTCAATATTAGATTAGTTGCAGGTGTACGGCATAGTGGTTAGACAATTACATAATTTAAGAAGTGACCCCCTGGATGGGTCTAGCACCCCACCTGGCACCCTACGTGGTTATGACAAAGGACACGCCCTTTTGAACAAGCAACAGAGACTGGGGTGGAGTGAAGTGGCTGTGCCAGCCAAGCAGAAGTGTCTCCAACATGATGTCTGTCACCGGCTCCACCCTCCCAGAAGGACGACACCAGCTCTCGGAGCATCTGAGATTGAGACCAAGGGTTTGGGGGTATAAGAGGTAATGAGAAGAAAGTTTCTTTTTTTTTTAATTTTTTATTTATTGGTTTTAGAGAGAGGGAGGGAGGAGGGGGAAACATCAATTTGTTCCACTTACTATATGTACTCTTTGGTTGGTTGTTATATGTGCCCTGCGTGGGAATCGAACCCACAACCTTGGTGTATCAGGACCATGCTCTAGCCCAGTGGTCCCTAACCTTGTTGGCACCAGAGACAGGTTTCATGGAAGACAATTTTTCCATGGACCAGGGTGGGGCTGATGGTTTTGGGATGATTCAAATGCATTCCTTCAAGCTCACCTCCTGCTGTGCATCCTGGCTCCTGACAGGCCGGCCCAGTACCGGTCCACAGCCCTGGGCCCTGAGGTTGAGGACCCCTGCTCTAACTGGCTAAGCTCCCCAGCCAGGGTGAGAAGGAAGTTTCTTACATTCTTCACCTACCATGCCCCACACACAGGCCTCTTTCCTTTTCGTGCGGCAACTGCAAGCAGCACTCGTTCAATCCAATTAGCCCGAGGAGTCGGATAGAGTCCAGTTGACTGGGGTCCGTCCCAGACTCCTTCAGCCAGCTCAGCATGCCCTCTGCTGCATCAGGGCACCGTGACCGTGGATTCCCGCTGAATGAACCTCTGAAGACCACTGGCCGGAGGAGGCAGATGTGGGTGGAGGTGAAGTCACTGTGAGCCTGTTACCGACTGCATTCGCATCGAGTAACCGAGCACCAGCCAGTGTCCCAAACGCGGAGGAATGGCTTCCCTCCTGTAGAGAGACCTGGAGTCCGCAATCCAGGGCTGGGATGACAGCATCATCGCAGACGCGGGCTCCCTGTCCTCTGCTTGCCTCATGATCCGTAATAGTTTCCACAGCGCCAGCCATCTCACCTCCTTCCCATGAACAGCGACTCTTGCATGTGACTCGGGTCATAACTCTTGGACCTGAAGCTGGATGCTGCTCCTGGGTTCTCACCTTGGGCCACCTGCCCCTTTCCTCACACTGGCTTCTTAGCCTCAGGGAAGACCCAGCTTCCGGGAGCTGCCCTTGGCATTGGCCCACCTAACTGACTCCACCTGCCCTTGTCTATGGAGAGAATCAGACCTTCGAGCCGTGAACCTGGGAACCTGAGTGGAATGAGGGAAGGGCGCAGAGAGAGTCACCCCATATTTAGGGTCCAGCAGGTTCCTCCATAGATCCCTCCATTCAGCCTGCAGTGTCCACCCGGAAGCACCGCCATCGTCACTGCGCCAGGTGTATTAGGTGGGGTTCTCCAGGGAAGCAGAACCTACGGGATGTGTAGAGAAAGACAGAAAGAGATGTATCATGAGGAATGGGCTCACGTGATGATGGAGGCCGGCGAGTCCCAAGTCTGCAGTGTGAACTGCCAGAGGGGGGGACCTGGGACAGCCACAGGGGCAGTTCCAGGGCGAAGGCAACCTCAAGAGGAGGAGGCTCCCCTCGCTCCGGGGGAGGTCAGTGTCATTCCCAGCAGGCCTTCCCGGACTGGACGAGGCCCACCCACCTTACGGAGGGCAATTTGCTCTACCCGAGAGTCACTGATGTAAATGTGAACCTCACCCCAGAACACCTCCAAGTGGACACACAAAATTAACAAGCACACTAGGTAAAAACCACAAGGCCAGGAGGGCATTCTACATAAGGGGCAGGGAGCCCTGTCGGTCATTACACCACACAATTCCAGCTAGAGCACCCCGGGGCGCCTCATGGCGTGAGGCCAGGTGCATGGGCACCACTAGGAGAATGGCTCTCAGGAGCTGCCCAAGGTGAACGGACCCAGGCCACCGAGGCAGCGACCAAGCACAAGCTTCACAGGCTGGCTGCCCGTCCTGCCCAGCACGGGCCGGGGGCTGCACCCCACACCGTGGGGTCCACTCTGAAGAACCAGAGCAGGCATGCAGGAGACGTGGCCTCGGGTACCGCGGCAGCTCACGCCAGCACTCGGGCCACTGGGAGAGGTACAGACATGGGTCCCATGCAGGCGTGCCCCGGAACACCACCGCCGCCGCCCTGCCCTGGTGCTGGCTCACGGCTGCATTAGCCCTTCCATGGGAAATCGGATAAAAGCATGCGAAGTAAGCCTGTGTTTTCACCCTGCGACAGTTAATGTGCATGTCCTATCGGTGATGTACAAACTAGAAGCTCTCTCAATTTCAACATTGACCCTGGACATTCCAGTCCCCCTTAAGCAGACACGCCTTAGTGTTGTCCCAGGCCAGCTCAGGAAGTAGACCCGTTGTTCGGAGCTGCCTCCTGTCCCCCAAGTTCCTTTGCTGAAGTCCGAACCCCCAACACCGCAGACTGACTGTGTTTGGAAGGAGAGCCTCCGGGGAATTACGTGAAAAGCAGAACCCCGGGGTGGCCCCGAACCAGTGCGGCTGACGCCCTAAAGAGACGAGGAGGGAAGGACACAGCACACACGCGGGCCGCGGGGTGGCCGGGTGAGAGGGTGCACCAGGAAGACGCCCGTCCGAAAGCCCAGGAGAGAGACCCGAGAAAGACCCCGCCCTGCCGACACTTCGGTCTCAGGCTTCCAGACCTCCAGCCTCCAGACCGGTGAGAAAATGGATTTCTGTCGCTGAAGCCGCCCAGGCTGCAGTATGATGTCGCGGCAGCCCAAGCAAACTCGCGCAGCAGTTCAGCAATTTCTGTAATGCAATCTCCTGTCACAGTGTCAGCTACTGTGGAGTTCATCGTCACGGTCACAGGGTCTCCTTCCCACCGGGGCCCTCCCCACCGCACTCCCCTCGCACCCCACCAGCTCCTTCAAAGGCCTTGCTGGCGGCACCTGCATTCAGGAGGGACAGCCCTTCTCAGCTGGCTCCTGCTTGGCTGTCATCCGGCCCGGGCACTGGGGACGTCGGCTCCAGCCGCAGTCAGGTGCTGAGAGAAAAGAGGTGTGTGTTCTCTCCCGGTCTAGTTCGACTTCATTTTCACAGGCTCTGTACAGGCGACGTGCCTGGTTCGGCTTCACCCCCTCCCCCACCCCCACCCTGGCTGTCAGTCACGTGGGGCCCAAGCGCCTGCCCAGGTGTGGCGCCCCTGCCCCTCTGCTGGGGGAAGGACCTTCAAGCAGCCGTGCAGCCACCAGGGTGGCCTGTTTCATGCTTCCCCCACCTGCTCCCTAAGACCGGCTCATGACTCCCCCTTCAGAGCCGTCCCGAGGAAAAGTGGATGCCCGTGTCCTAGTTCACCCCAAATGTGCAGGGGGCAGAGGTTCTGGACCCCCGTTTTTCCAAGGGCACAAGAGAGGAGTAACATGGGAAAGGGGAGAGCCCAGCACTCTGCTAAAGCAAAGCCTCAGACAGCTCCGGTTTCTTCCCCGCCCAGCCGTCGGGAGTGGGGTCCCGACCTGCACAGCCTGTCCAGAGCACGAGCCTCCCCACCTGCGCGCCAGGCTTTGGGGAATCCCTCGGCTGACTCCCTGGGCTGCAGCTGGTGGTGGGAAAGGCTTGCGGTCAGCGTCCTAACCTTCGTGCTCCTCCAGTGACAGCGTGCCGACCCCATCAAACCCATCAGGCCTCTGGCTGCTTCACCAGTTGTAAGCTGGGTATGGGACCAGCCATCGTCCCCACTCTCAGGACCTTTGCCACAGTCCCGAGGATCCTGTCACTCAGGAAGTGGTGTCTGGGAGAGCTGACAGGACGGCCTGAAGCTACCCAAAGACTGGAGCCTGGGGTCAAAGGCCACAACCTAGAGAGCAGGACTTTTCAACCTCGGCACTGTTGGCGTTTTGGGCCAGCTGATTCTCTGTTGCAGGGGCTGTCCTGTGTCGGGTGGGGCATTTATGCACGTCCCCGGCCCCTACCCGCCAGATGCCAGCGGCATTCACCCACCTCCAGTTGCGACAACCAAAAATGTCTCCAGCAGGGCCAGATGTCCCCTGGGGGCCAAAATCAGCCCCCCGCCCCCAACATTGAGAACCACTGTCATAGAGAGAAAACTATGACCGAAATGAGGAGCAGGAGCAGGAACCGAGAAGGGAGCAGAGGAAGACGAGAGGCACCTGGCTGCACCCCGAGGTGCCAGGCAGGTGAGGCTCGGGGCAGGTGAGGCGCGGGGTTTGATGGCGCTCCAGCTCTCCATGTTCAAGTTCACCTGGCCTCCACACAGTCCTGGCCCGAAGCTTGGTCTGATGGGCTAGCACTTAGTCGGAAGGCGAAGAGCCTCTGAGGAAGAATAAAGAAGTCCTTCGTATCTGTTACGAGGAAAAACCAGTTAGCAAAACCCGATACATTAGAGCCGAGTGAGGCCGAATGATGACAGCAAGCTGGGGAAGAGTCACGTCCTGGCCACAAGGGGAACCCTGGGCACGCAGTCACGCACGCGTCTCTGATCAAAGGTGAACGCAGCTGGGAACAACTGCACGTGCCATCTGACCGGCATCACGTGGACGGCTGCGTGCCGGACGTCGGGGGATCGGGCAAAGGGGGAAACGGGAGAGGGAGCCAGCTCCCCCCACTGCTGGCGATCAACAGGGTAGCAACCACACACCACAATGATAACAGTAAAAACTCTTTCTTACGGAACACCTACACGCAAGAATCTTTACCCGCTGGTTTTGTTTCATCCTCATGGTTTGCCAAGTGTTACAGATATAAAGAACTTGAGAAAAGAGGAAGTTTTTTTCCCCAAAGGCCCTGAGCTAGAAACAAGTAACACAGGATCTAAACCTAGATCAGCTTGACCCCAGGGCCCATGCTCTTCCACGCTGCCGCGCTGTTCCAGGCAGAATCAAGGCAGGGGCGGGCAAAAGCCGGTTTAGAGTTGCGAGTATTCAAGACACGGGATTTATTCTTGTATTATGATTTATTGTATCATTTTCCATTCAAACAACTGTAAACCCTCTTGTGCCCACGCCTGCATAATAGCTTTGTGATACAGAGTTCACGTCAACGACTCTCCGGGTGAACAGACGTCCTCCAGTTCCCCTGCAGAGCGGCCAGAGCGGCCGCCACGGGCGGCGCTGCGGCGACCAGGGCTGGGGTGCTCACTACTGCCGCCAACAGTCGAGCCGCCTGCTTACCAAGCGCCGGGCGTATTTGTTCCCAAAACACTTAGGCCGCGTTTTACCTACTTCCCGGTTATTGAAATTACGTAATTTCATTCAATGCTAAAGCTGATAAAAAAATGAGTCTGAAAAGGAAAAAATAATTTTAATGAAAAGTACATGGAACGCCCTGGAAAGACTCCATAAAGGGGAGCCACTGAAAGCAATCAATGTTCCATTAGAGGCGGGCAAAAGAAATGGGGCGGAGTGGGGAAGTGGTTAAAAAGCTAAAGGAGCATCGCCCATGACTAGCTTAGCTCAGTGGATTGAGCGCGGGCTGCGAACCAAAGTGTCACAGGTTCGATTCCCAGCCAGGGTACATGCCTGGGTTGCAGGGTATAACCCCCAGCAACCGCACATTGATGTTTCTCTCTCTCTATCTCCCTCCCTTCCCTCTCTAAAAATAAATAAAATCTTTTAAAAAAAGCTAAAGGAGCAGATTGCTTTGCAGGGGTCTTTCCACTCCCACTCCGCCTCAGAGAACTGAACATGGGAATCACAGACAAGGCATCAGCAGGGTGGAGATGGCAATTTCCCGTCTCCTCATCTGAAAAGTACTGAAGGATCCTGCATTCGTATGTGTTGAGTTCAGATACATTTTTTAAGGTAAGCATGTGACATTTTATTCGGCCCCCAACTTTGACCACATGAAATAAAAAGACTTCGTGTCTTCCAGCTGACTGAAGGACAGATACCTCCACAGTGCACTCTGGAAGCTGCGTTCCAATGCCTGGTCTTTGCTGGCCCCCGGAGCTCCTGGCTGTGTGAGTTCTGAGGTCCCACGGGGCCTGAGCTCAGTCTGCGCTGTCTCTCCACCTGGGCGATGCCACGCACCTGCACACTGTGGCTATTCCATTCTTCTTCCCCCACCCCCACCCCCACTTTGACTGAGGTATGATTGACAAATAAAATTATAAGATAGTGAAAATAAATGGTCTTTGACATAATGTCTATTTTTGTTAAAATTCGACTTTCCATTGGCCTACTTTTCTTTTAGCTTTAGCGTAACCTTTTGAAGTTCAAAGGACAGGTTTGGTTTTCTTTTCTTAAGCATGGCAGAAGCGCTCAGTTTTTGGACTGAGCTCTAGAAGAGACATTCTCAGCGATGGGGTGGGCTGCAAAACCCCATCGTGGACAGAAAGAGTCCACTTGGAACAACTGCCAGGCAAGTAAAAAGACAACAGCAGTCAAGCACGATGCCCTCACGACGTGCCTGTCACAGGCCACCACCGGAAGAGTTGCCCCACACCTCCTCCCTCCCCGGGAAGGCAGAAACCTCGGCTCACGGAGGAGGGGCCAGACGGGCAGGGAAACAGGAGCCGCCAACCAGCTCCCACCTGTTCTTCCCGCACGCCCCCCCCCCTCCCAGGGCTGCTGGCTGGCTTCAGACCTGCGACAGAGAGGGCGAAGCCTCCACATTTTAAGTCCGAGTTCTGTTACACAGGACTGGGCGTCGAAGACACAGCTGTGTTCTGGCTGAAGTGATTACGTGACCTTTTGTTACCTAAGAATCAGGTGACCCGCAGCGGGTCCAGGGACAAAGAAAAACAAACTAACTCATCAGGCCAGTGCAAGACACCGTGAGTAACAAGAAGGAAGTCACCTTATGATCCCATCCCATGAGATGCTGTTACTCAATGGGATGGTTACCCAATGTACTGACAACTTGTACTAGCGAGTAATAAAATGTCTACTAGGAAAGTTCTCTCTTATTTTTGGCAGTGGAGCGTAACTCTGGATTTCTAGCAGGACTGTGAGTTCTTTCCCCCATGAGTCATCTCAGTGGGGATTTTAGAGCTTACAACACCATTTTCCTAGGATCACCCAAAGGTGCCCTTTAAATTTAGAAACAATATGCAAATTTGTAACTTAGATTGTTCTAGACATTTATGGCTTCCTTTTTTTTTTTCTAAGCATTTCTGGGAATTCTTTCAGAAGAGCATGAAGAATAACAAACATCAGCTGCTTGGACAGTTCAACTCCTGTCTCTTCCTTTTATATGTAAACCCCATCACCAAACCCCGTCGCAGCCCAGCATGCATGTTCCCTGCCTTCCTCCCCATCAGCTGGAAGGTGGGAAGAGGACGAGAAAGCTTGTTTGGGGCCCAGCCTGGAAACGCTATACATCCCCTCTCACATGCCAGTATCTGGAACTCAGCCACACGGCCACACGTGACCGCAAGGGAAGAGGGACCCCGTAGCTCACCTCTGTGACCAGGAAGAAGAGGAAATGGGTCTGGAGAGTCGGTGAGTATTTAACAAGTCCAGTCCACACACACAAATATATATATATATATTTTTTTCTACAACTGGTCATTGTTAAGATATAAATTAATATTCACAGGATACCATGAAGCGTGATGACATAGTTATATTCATCATGCAGGGGAGGAAAAATTTTCCTCCATGCTTCCAAGTTCTTTTTTTTTTTTGAAAGATTTTATTTATTTATTTTTAGACAGGGAAGGGAGGGGGAGAGAGAGAGAGAGAGAGAAACATCAATGTGCGGTTGCTGGGAGTCGTGACCTGCAACCCAGGCATGTGCCCTGACTGGGAATCGAACCTGCGATGCTTTTGGTTTGCAGCCCATGCTCAATCCACTGAGCTACGCCAGCCAGGGTCCAAGTTCTTTTGACTGATCTAATAATTAAATTGACATAGATTAACTGGAGGGAAAAAAACCCACAAATTTAATTGTCTATGTACAGGAGCCCCAAGTTACAAGACTCAAGGGCAAAGCAGGAACCTGAGGCTCAGAATGGGACCGGGGCTGGGTCTCCCAAGGAGAGGAGGGTGGTGACTCAGGTGGGGGAAGAGATGTTTGGTAATTAGACGCTTGCCCTGCCACACAGATAGGTTTTACAAATAAAAAGTTATCTCTGATAACAGTACTCACGCTGGACCCGGCCCCCCAGTGCACTCTTTTAGGTCAGGGGGAGGCAGACACTTTTCTTGGGTCTGCTGGGCCTTGATTGACTTCCGCTCAAAACAACCTACAAGCCAAAGTGGCACATTGTGGGGTGGCATCTTCTGCTCTCCTTCAGTCATTTTGTAAAGAATTTAGAAATGCAACAAATGCACACTCCAGCTGGATGCCTAATGGCCAAACTGTTATCATCAATATTTCATCAAAGACAAGTAACACCACCACAGAATGAACTTTAGAAAATCAAGAATAAAGCTGAGGCTTTATTCAAAATAAATAAAATTACTCTCTTATTAAAATACTGAGTAGTAGTAGTTTAAATTTAAATTCATTTTTATAAATTCATTATAATCATTTCCCAACATGTCAGCTGCTAGATTACTACTGAGGTCATGGCTGAAGCTCATGACAACAGAACTCCAGCTTTTCCAAAGGCCAAGGCTAAAGCCACACACACAGCGAATTTCAGAAAACACCAAGGTCAAAGCCATACCAGGGTTTATCCTTTACAAACTTAGTAAATACTTATTATCTCTTCAATGCCTTCAGGGGAGACTCCCACGCAGCACCAACACATTCACCTCCTGGCGTTTGCCCTCCACATCTCGCTCATTCCCTGCTTTCAATGTCTGAGGCCCTGGAACACTCCCCCACCCCTTCCCAGTCCCGTCTTCGAGGGGCCGGGTCCCCTACTCGGAAAGTAGCTGGCCAGCACAAGGCCCCACCTCCATCCTCCATCCGGAACCACTTCTACCTCCAGGGCCCCCGGCTCGAAGAACGAGCCTCTGGAAATTTCGGCATGCCTGAACACGCCTAAGCTTTCCATGCTGTCAGCACATGGCCTTGGACAGCCTGGTGTTCCTTTCTAAGAAAGACTCGCCCTGGCTGGTAGCTCTGTTGGCGTGTTGTCCCAGTGAGCCAAGGTTGTGGGTCCCATCCCGAGTCAGGGCACAGAAATGAGCAACCGATGAATGCATGACTAAGTGGAAAAACAAATGGATATTTCTCTCTCTCTCTCCCTTCCTCTCTCTCTCTCTTTCTAAACTTAAAATTAAAAAAAAAAAAATTCAAGACTCTGTGACCGCCGCCCCTTTTAGCTCACCTCCCACCCAGACCCGCCCTCGACCATTTGGCTATCTTTCGTCTGCGCAGAAACACAGCACAGACGTGCTGGGTCATCTGGCTGTCGGAAGCATTTCGCTCCTAGGAACGAGACAGCCTT